GAATGAATAAAAAGATCACTTTGCGGTATTCAAGTACTGAAAAAGCAAAGTTCTGAAAGGGCCGGCAAAAATGAATAAGTTTTAAATGTCTCCCATTGTAAACTAAACAATAAAAAGAAACGAGATACAGCTTTCAGACTGAGATGTATGCTCATAGAAATGTAGACATGATTTGACATCTAAACATAGAAAGGAAGAGTCGTTACTCTTAAAAGTTTTTTTACTGAGAACATTTATTTACTGTCTTCAATAGACAAGACAGTATTTTTTAAAATTGCAATTCAAATCTGTTCAAAGTTATGTGTCTCCAAAATGCAGGTCTTGTCGCTTGAGAATAAGATCTTGGCTTTTTGGTAATTGGAAACTAGTAGGGGATGAGGAATTATTGTAAATGAAAGCTTGTATGTGTTGACTAGGATCGTCCTTTCGTCAAACTTGATGTGGCAAATATTCTAGATGCATTTTCTGGCCATCCCTGTAATGTCATATTTCGAAAAATTTTCTTGAATTCGGTAAGAAATTCTAACCATGGTAGTGGCCTTTATTTATGCCCTGAACAATATAAACATTTCACACCTTCCCTCATTCAGCAACGTTTCGCCTGCCCTGCCTTTGCTACTGATGTTACCATCTTGGTTGCTGCGCAAACAATTAATAACCTGGCTGCTCAACTACTGATCGAAAAAACATCAATCCCTATTTTGATTTGACTGAAAAATTACAAAGCAAGATTTTCTTGAATAAGGTAGATATTTCTTGAATAACTTAGATATTTCATTAATTTCTACCCTGGGTGCCAGAGCCTCAGTGATCGAAAAAGGTGAACCTCCGAATACCATTCGCCGTTTTTTATCACTGAAGCCCCACTTTGAAAGTCCTTCAGCTAGAAAACAATAATTCCCTCCCCCCGAAATGTCATCATTTTCTCTCATCTCTTATTCTACGTCAGAATTAAATTTCCAGTGAAAATGATGCTGACCTGGACTAAGGATTGTAGATCCCCTTGGTAAATCTTTTACACCTACGCCTACATCCCTGGTGGCTACTAATTTGAATTAATAGCAATATTCCAATAACGTTTTAAGCAAGAATAATGAAGTGATGCAACAAACAACTTTGGGGATACCCTTAAACTTTTTTTTTATTTTCGGGGCCCTTTCTTGACAAATTAGCCCGGGCCCTAAATTTGGAGCCAGTCCGCCCCTGCCTTATGTTTAATTTTTAAGCTTTTTAAGGAAGAAATTTAATTGAGTGTTAGGAACTATTACAGAAGATGGAGGGTTTTTCACAAGAAATTAGACTTGTCGATGCTTATACTGTTATGAAATGATGCTATGTTATGAAATGTTCGTGACATTTTTTAGTACGTCCAGAGATTCGCTTCCGTTTTGATACTGTATTTAGATGCGGGAAGTATATCTTTATCCCTTGTGTCTTACGTTCTAGGCCAACAGGGCAATCATGTTCTTGGATTTTACATATTTTCTTGATTTTTCTGCTTCGAGTACTGAAGTTTCTTTATTTTATCTGACTCTCCAGTACTCATTTCTTATAGCCAGTTTCTTATAAAAAATGAGTGTATACATACTGCCCTGAATTTCGCAATAATCTCGCAATTTTGAAATATTGAGCATTGTGTGCACGAACTCTTGTTTTAGTAATTCTATTGGCTTTCCTTTTTATTGGCATGCCCCGAATCTTTGTTGTTGTTAGACAATAAACCGAAACTGCTTGTTCTGCGTTCTTCGCGAATAAACGTTTTTCCAAAAAAATGCACATTGCAGATTATATATCAGCATCTCATCTCATTTTAGAAAAATTAGAAAAAGTTAATATTTCTACCTTTCTGAAAGGGAAGGCACTAAAATTATTAGGGCCCCTGGACCCAAGCATAGCGAGACCCTCTCTATCAAAAAATGAAAAAGCCCGAACATTATATTTGTAGAAGCCAAGATAGAATAAATTTCATGAGTCTTTGAAAAATTAAATGAAAGCTAAAAACTTTGCCTCTGTACCAAAATTAAGAAAGATTGTAATAATTTCGGGAGGCCCCCCTTTTCCGCATCTGGCACCAATCAGATTTCCGATGCAACGACGTGGAAGTTACCCCCTGGAATGCCGCGTTCGGAAGAAAAGTCGACGACACCACTCATTGATGTGTCATATTGCTGAGGATGGTGCTGTTGTTGTTTCGGTGAGGGGGGACCGCTGAACTGAGAAACATGAGAAGATTTTTAATTGAATAAGCCCCCCGTGAAGGTAAATTATAACAAACTATATACCATATTAATGGTCTTATCAAGAGCTATCGTTTGGTATATAGTATTAATGTATATGATGTATGGTTACTGAGAGGTGCAAAACTGCAATAGCGCCATAATATGTAGTTCTCAAAACTAGCAATACTTGCACTTTTACTTGAGTAGAAGGTCAAGATTCAAACAATGAATAAAATGTGCCAGCTTGTGTAAATAGCATGAAGGTACCCCTGCGAAAACCCAACCATGGTTCATGGCCCAACCATAGTTTGCAATGGTCATACCATGGTTGAGCGGTGATCCTGACAAGTGCTGACCATGGTTAGTGACCATGGTTGAGCAATGAAAGAAGATTTGTGCTTGGTTTCTGATACCTTCAAATTGAAAGATTATATTTTCCTTGTCTCACTATGAATTTCCTTCATTTATTCTGAATGGCAAGAGTTTTACATAAACATGTTCTAACCATTGCTAAACCATGGTCCATTTATCAACTGATATTCATAAAATGGCAAAGAACTTCTAAATTAAACAGCTTGATATCCACTAGTTTTGTTTTGTGGACACATTTCCTTCTTTTTAAGCTATAAAAACTTTTATTTTTTTTTGAATTTTAAATGCTTTGTAAAAATATGGCCTGACCATCACTGACTTGCTGAACCATGGTCAATTTATTAATTGACATTTCTTAAAATGGCAAAGAATTTTTAGATTAAATAGTTTGATTTCTACTATATTTGTTTTGTGGACATATTTCCTTGTTTTTAAGCCATAGAAAAATTATTTTCTTTGAATTTGAGATGTTTTATGAAAATTTGGCATGACCATTGCTGACCCATTGCTGAACCATGGTCAATTTATTAATTGACATTTCTTAAAATGGCAAAGAATTTTTAAATTAAATTCAAAAGCAAGATCAAGCCCCCTGCCCCCTTCAATGTCAAGAAAATTTCTAACAAGAAAGATGGGCTCCACCCCCTATATGTCCCTACAAGAAATCTCCACTGTTTAAAATCCTGGTATTTTCTTCCTTTCCTACTAAGAAATTTTTGCCTATAAGTAATTTTTTTGCATGGTTATATGTTTCATTACTAAGCAGGCACCACAGAGCTTTGAGACGGTGGGGGTTTTAAAGAAGTGGGGGCTAAAACCTTTAAAAAGAGGCTTTCCTGGTAGTTTATTACTTAATATTTGACATTTTTAGCAGCCCCCTGCCCCCCCTGCTATGCGGTGCCTGTTAAGTTGGGTATTCTAAGATTAGCTTTATTTTGTAGACATATTTCCTTGTTTTCAAATAAGAAAACATTTATTTCTTTATTTCTAAGTTTCTTTAGCTACAGGTAACAAAAACTGCTGCTTGTGCCCCCATTTGATAGGCCCCCACTCTGGACAAACTAGTCCTTAAACTTGCATTCTTCCTTTGTCTATGTGTATATGGAATGCTTTTTTATTGGCAGGCAGATAAAAACATTGTTGTAGTTACCACATATGTCAACTCTTGGATAATCTTCGAGGTCTTATTTAGATTTAAAACTATTCTTTGTTTTTCAGCCTTAGTATCAAAATAGGCCAAAATTTCTCCTTAATTTTTCTAAATGTCTTTGCAGAGGAATTATCCTTATGCTTATCACACAATCATAGGATATCACATTGGGCTTATTTCTTATTTCTAAGGCCTTCAGATCTTCAGGGTCTCGCTGGTCCATATTCATCACCTCTGCATTCCATTGATTTTCATCTCTCCATTCCATTCAAAATCTTGTGTTTAATTGATTTCTTTTGGTTTCCATCACAACTGAAAATATGGCACTATTATTTTTCTCAGATGTGTGGCGAAAACAAAACACATTCTCAACTGAGTAGTACCTCTGGCACAGCTGTTCCATGTGTCTACTCCATTTGGGTCATGTCATAGATTGTCCAACCAGCTTGTTTTTTACAATGTGATTCAACTAGATTTAATTTATGTATTCTATTGATTCTATGCATAAGGTACAAAACCATTTATCTATGAAACTGTCAGAGTTATTTATTGTTAGGTTTTGGCATTTAAAGTGGTACCAACATTCTCACATTTAATTCTGTAGATTTACTGTGTTTTAGAGAGTGTAGTAGGGTGTTGAATGTTTCAGAGATAATATGCAGATAACTGTAACTTGTAATTTTTTTTATGGATAATCTTACCATTTTTGACACTGTTCTTCCTTCTCTGCAACCATTTTGAATTTCACGCTCTCCAAGTAGACCTTTATTGTCAGCTTCACATAAAACTTAATCTTCAATTTGTTTTATAGTTGCTTTCTTTGAATGCAATTTTGCTTTTTGTATCCAAATAACAAAATATGACTGCCTTGCACCAGTCAATTTTTTTTGCTCACAACTCCTGTATTATATTTGTGGGTTTTTTTGTAACACTGCTTGTTTTTTTTATGTTTAAAAATCCACAACTTTTTACGGCAAATTCCATTGATCTCCATGACATGAAGGTTGTATCAGCATTTTCCTTCAAGAAATATAAGGCTTTGACACTTGTAGCTAACCAAACTGTTAGGTGAAGATGTTATAAATGTTTTCTTTGAATCTACACACATATCAAGGTTGTTTTAGCCAGTAAGTCTCAGATGTAAATCAATATAAGCTTGGCTCTCTAATTTTCTTGCAAATGAATTTAAGGAACCCAATTTGACACTTACAATCATTGTGAAAAGCTGGCACTTATTTTATCATTTGTATTATTTCTAGCATCAGCCACCCACCTTGTCAGCAGGCCCTGAAATAACAAAAAAATGTTGCTTGGTAAATCAAGCTCCTCCGTTCAGTTAGATGTTTGATCAAGCGTCTTTTGCTGGTGAGGAAAGTTCTGGCTTGCCTGGAAAATGAGGTATCTTTTTTGTTTTTCTCAAAAAATGCATTAAAAATTAAACAGAATAAATGAAACAGTGATGTTCAATTAGTGAATCTGCAATGGTATTTCTAAGATTAACGAAAACATTTTATCTCTTTGATCTGAATAACTTAGTCAGTAGATTTTAAAATGTTCTCACTAAAATTTAAACACAACTAAAGCAAAATTTTGTGAGTTTACAACAAACATTTCAACATCACGATAAAGATATAAAACATTTCTCCTTAAAAGTGTCATTTGTCTTTATCTAGCGTTTATGGCATCATACATCCATCTTATTCTGAAACAAGCTACTGATATCAGCTAAACTGTCACTGGTGCCATCACTGTCACTCCAGCTGTCACAAGTAACTTTCTTTATCTTTTCTGGTGGCTCTGATACTTCAGTCTGTCTAACTCAGCCTGTCAGTCTGTCTTGAGTCTGACAACATCAGGGTTAGAATAGAAAATCCCCTTTGAACAGAGCTGTTTGATTCAGAAATGGTCAATAACAGTTTTGCCAGCAAACATATGTTTGAGACATCTCCCTTCTTTTTGAAAATCATACTTCTCCAGGTAGAAAGAGCCTCTGGTGCATATTACTTTGGAACAATCCTCTTTATACTCTTCCATTCTGAAAAGGCCTCTTTTAGGAGTGGCACTTGAAAATGGTTGCTGAGATAAACAATTTTTTAATAACATACTCTTTATCATCATACGGCCAGTTATTGGGATCAAGCCATTTCATATCTTGGTATATTTTTGATGAAAACTCGCTGAGTCTGGCAGTCAAATTTTCTCTTTAGCTTGTTTGCAACATGAGCAGTGGTGTCTGAATAAAAAATTAGCCCAAACCATTTGCATCCTATCATCAGTGATGGTTGTGAATTTTCTATTTCTTCCCTTCCTTTTCTTGTGCCCAGCTTGTTGATACTCTCTTCAGATATATACAGTTGCATTCCCATCATTAACCTCAATCAAAAATATTTCAAGTTACTATCAATGGGCACATCACCAACGTCTTTGTCTTCAGCTAACTCGTCAAGCCTCTCCAAAGTAAGCAGAAGACTAGGTTGAATATCATATGGCAACAGACCGCTCCCTTCAAAAACTAGAGATATTGGGCTGATCTTATCAAGAAAATCTAAATAACTGCAGACATTGGGGAAAATCTTGATGCTTCTGAACTCTGACAAGAGGCCTCTAAGTTTTGCAATTGTCTCAGCTTTTTTTATTTTCTGCAATAATATTTTCATATGCCGTAATGAAGATAGGCCGAATGCGCAGCAATCTTTGCAACCCTCTTCTTCTGTGACTTACAAATCTTGTCCCTGTTATTTTTGAAAGGCTATAGCATGTGATGTTCATTACAGCTGCAGAATGTGAAAGTGATGCTGTAATGTCACTGGACCTTTCCATAAGAGCTTTATTTGCTTGATAAAAGTGATAAACCTCTTCAATTGGCTTCACTTACATGACATCCTTGACTGCCAGCTCCACTCTGTGGTTTATGCAATGCACAGTAAGTAGCCAAGATCTACTTGCTTTGAGCTGGGTCAACAAAAATCTATAAATTCCCTTGATAAATTCCAAAATTTACACAAGCATAATCGTCTGTAGCTGCAACCATTGACTTTAGGTAAAATTCCTCATCTAGGTGCATCGTCGTGCAAAACACATAGTCAAGGGCTTTTCTAACGGAGTTGGCATAATCTACCATTTCCAAGAGAGAAGTAGCGAACTAAACAAGAATACAATTTCTTTCTGTCCTTACCAAAGTGAGCTTCTTCTCCTTTCTGCTCTTCCTGGCCTGGGAAGCGTAAGATAAAACTGACCTGAAGTCACTAGCGCCAAGAATAACTGCTACTTTTCTTTCACACCATCTGCAATATAGTGTATGTATTCTCTACCGACATGACTTTCTCCTTTTCCTTCTATTAAACAAACACCATTTTTTTATGCTTTTCTGCCAGCGTTGTCCATTACAGTTGTAATTTTGGCTTGAGCTCCTGATGATGATGTTTCTGAGCTAGCATCTTCGACAGTTTCATCATAGATGCTGTTCCTTCCAAATTTTAATTGCATGGGCTTTTCCGCTTAATTTTGTTGAGGACATAATTTAAGTTCCTTCAAGTTGTTTTGAGCAAGAACTATTTCACATCTAGTGTTGTGGAGTTTTTGGGACAATCGCTTGGTCCTTTTTTGAGAAATGCTGTCTTGATATC